TAATTATTTAACATTAAATCGTCATTCGGTCTGGGCATTAATAAGGACTGTCCTTATGTAATTAATGCAAACGATTGACGTCATTAGCTTTTCTATTTATTTTTCTATTTATGTATTCTTTCTTCCACAATCGATGAATCATGAAATGTATGTATGTTTTTTTCATTTTAATTGTCGATTCATTTTTCGATTATTTTCGATATAAAATCGATTATTTTTCGATTTTGTTTGATATATCGAGTTCTTTCTATAAAAATCTATGATATGAGAAATATATTCGTTTTTTATATTCTATGTTCTTTATATACTATAGGTAATATTGATTTTTCAATGAAATATTTTTTTAAAATGTAGATATATCTAATAAAATTCATATTTCATATTCACATAAGAAACATTAACTTTTAGAATGTCATAGATTTGAAGTATTCATGAACAAGTTTTGTATTAAGAAAGATCTGTTAAAATATATATATGCATGTATCTTATATATTAATAGAGAGAAGAGAATAAAAAGTAAAAATATAAATGCAAAAAGAAAAAAAAGAAAAATGGTAAAAATATTATGATGCAATAAGATAGATAGATAATTAGATAAATAGATAAAAAAAATAAATAGATAAATAGAGAGAGAGAGAGAGAGAGAGAGAGAGAGAGAGAGAGAGAGAGAAAGAGGAAGAGTCAATATTCGCATCTAGAATTGCATATACATTCCTACTTTTGTCGACTCAGCCTTTTCCTTCTCGTCGAGGTTATAAACAGCATCTGTACACGTCAGAGCACACCTGGGTGGTGATCTCGTGTATTAAATTATCGTCGTGTTGATCTTGCAAGCGAGCGGGAGATCGTTAGTTTTGCTCCAAGATCCCGAGATCGAGGACGCCGGACGCCTCGATCCTCCGTCGACCATTCAACCCGCTAACTCTCCTTCTCCTTGAGTTCTTCGGCTTTTCTGCGTCCTTCTCCCCGTTCCGCTCACAATCTCTATCTTTCCTTTTCTTTCTTTTCTGTCTCTTCTGTGCTTATTCCACCACTTTGATCTTCGATCGTGACCAGATAACCAGCACTTTCGCGGTACTTTCAAAGTACTACCTCTAACTACGCGTACGTTTAACTTTATCAGAAAATTCTCGAACTGGTTGAACAATAGATTTAATTTTTGCATTTGCTTTTTTGATACTTCTTTCGCACTATTTACTATATTTATGCAATTGCAATTACATTTCTGCAATTTTCTCTATAGAACTGTTAAATATTTATATATTTATAAATAAATAAATTGACTTTTTTCAATCGTTATCCATGATCGAAATTTTTATTAATATCATTGTGTTTATTTCATTTTTTGAAAACTCAATATCTTAGCGAAATTTAAGTATTCAAATTTTAACAAAATAATCTAAATGAATTTTCTTTATATTCTTGAAAAAATAATAAAAAGCAAATTAAATGCAAAAAGAAGAAAAAATAGAAAAATAAATATAAAGAAAAAAATGGAAATGAAATATTATATACAAACTTACGTTTGAATTTTTGCATTGATTATTCAAATAATCATTCTTATTCTTCTTTTGTTTTTAATTTCTTTTTTTTCTTTTTTTTTTTTTTGCATTTTTATAAACAGTTTATAATTTTTGCTCTTTATCCGTATATACAGTATATACTATAAAAAAAGATGTTTTATTCGAAAGGTATTTATATATTTGATACTAAATAATATTTATATCACAGTCCTATCATAGAAATATTGTATATGTTAACACATAAAAAAAATTGAGAAAATCGAAGTACACAAATATAAATTTAGCAGAAGACAAACAGATACACAGACATATAAACTGAAATCAAGTCGTGAAATACATGCGGTCTTAGCGAGTCTCTTCGTAAGCTGGTCGAGCAACTCCATCTCACGATTGAGTCATCCTGCACGGGAAGAGGACCACCTGGTGAGGAGAACCCACGATGTATCTACTTAACGATATATGTAGACTGTTTCGCCTCGTGGCTTCTTCTTCCTATCTCATCGACTGGATTTGACTTGCTTGGATTCGATCCAATGAATTGAATACGATGCGACGATTCAATTCAACTTGTTTTGTCATTATTTTTTTTTCTTCCTTTTATATTTCCATTTCTTTTTCTTTTTTTTTTTTTTTTTTATTAAATTTCACATTTTCTTCAAATATACATTTATCATTTTATTATTCGAATAATATAAATACATATTCAAATATCTTCTTTTTCGATTCTGATTTCTAAGAAAAATTAATTGAAAATTGAAAAATTAATTCTATTTCATTTATTTCGAAAATAAAATCTACGATTATTTTTGTTCATCTAGCTTTTCTCAGGCAATTTCGATTTGAGAAAGATTTTCAAAATTTCGAATAAACATCGTAGTATAAGAAGAAATGTACGTGTAAGAATAATTTACATTTTGATCATATGATTGAAATGAAAATATTAAACGTGCGTGACGATGAAAGAATTGCATTTAGTCGCGTGCAAGCATTGAACGTGTGTATAACTAGTGACTTGAGTAACAGCATGCGACAGAACCGTGAAGCGGTGCCGAAGAGTATATAGTTTTTTGCTAAGGGGGATTTACAGATTGCACACCTGTGCATGGCTCAGCCGACGAAAGACCTCACCTGTCGAGTAACCGGTCTCCATTGACTTTTTCTTCGTTTACGTACACTCACTTCGTTCTCTGCTCTCCACTCTACTCTCCACTATCTGCTCTTCACCCTTCTTATTTCACCTGTCTCGCTATTTATTTTTTATTTTTCAGTCTCGATATTTAGTTTTTTATTTTAAAATCTTTATTTCCTATATATTTTTTTATTTTCTATTTTCTTCTCTAATTAATGTTAAATAATCACAAATATTGATTATATAAAGTTAGTAAAAATATTTATATGTTATTTTACAAGAAAGTTTACATATTTTAAAAAATTTGATTTGAAAATTAAATCAATATATGTATATCAATATATGTATATAGAGCATGATAGTATATTATATGTAAAACAATTTATTTCTCGATCAAAAATCTTAAGTTCTTAAAATCAACCCTAAAATTTTTAACATTTTTTTCATGTTTTGTATTCAGATGCAAATGAAAATATTTTTTTAAATATTTCACTTTATAATAAAGTAATAGAGTAATAGAGTAATAGAGCGTATTCTATTTCGTATCATTACGAAATTATATTAAATATAAAAAACATAATATAAAAAATAAAAATAATATCAAACTTTAAGGATTGCTTTTGTTCCCTCGAAATGATATTTCATTAATAAAAAAATTAATATATAATCTAATATATGATCTATATATATATATATATATATATATATATATATATAATCATTATGATTATCTATATCATCTGATTATCTATAATCATAATTATATATAGATAATATCTACAATGTTTTATATAAAATAAAATTATATTAATAATATAATTTATTAAATTCACTTAAGTTATACTTATATGACTTATCAATTAAATTCATATAAGTATATGAATACTTGTATATTTTCAATATTATTTTATAATATATAATATCTTATAATAGAATATCTTATAATATATATAATATAAAAAATGAAAGAGTTAATGTTTTTAAAATAATTTACATTGATGATGATGATGTAAAGAAAATAAAAAAATTATTTTGTTGAAAATCAATTGTCAATCAATAATATTTAATAATTGACACGAAGATCGGTAAAATCGGAATGATGGTTTACAATCAATAATCGATGATCATACTTGATTTGAAAATCCGTAAAACGATATTAACGATTGAAATCGTGCGATTTCAGAGGCAAATTATCAGACTGCAGGCAATTACCAGGTGGGGGACCGATATAGAGTGGAGCGGTTTGAGAGTTCCGAGAATCGGTCGTGGCTAAAAATAAAATCCCACCCGGGAGCAGTGATTATGTTCCAAAAAAAGAGAACTGAGCGAAACGTTCTCTTCAGCGTGTACAGGTGCCGCCAATGAGACGAAAGCAAAGGGACAAACGAGAAATTGCCGTGTGTTCGAGAATTTCGCATTGCCCCGCATAAGAAGAACCCTCTCACATATTGCTATGCAGTACCGTGCCGCTCTGAGCTTCAGCTCCGCTTAATGAAGTTGTCGGTTCAGAACGTTTACAGGTGGGGCCTACCTGCGTGTGGTCCATTCACAAGGATTGCCGCGGAACTGGTTAGGAGTGCTTTACATCTTTACATTTACCTCACGAACCGTTTCGAGTTCGTCGAGCCTCGAGATGCTCTTTGCTTGAACAAGATCGATTGTCGTTTTCATCATCATCGTCGTCGTTAACGATAATCGTTATCATTATTATTAAAATCGCAATTGTTTGTTGCTGTTTCCGCGGTAAAATTGTGATAGAAAAACGATTATTATTATCGAATAAATACAACGAAACAGCTTGTAAAAAGATATTTGAAAGAAAGAATACAGGAATACTAAAACTTTAAGTATAAATACTATCTATTTTAAGAAAATCAGCGAATCAGTCATTTGTACATAGATATTTTGAATAATCGATGAATTTAATACATCGCATTGTGATTTGAGTTTCTCTCTGTTAATCACTTACACGGTCTCGTTTTTCTTTTTTTTTTCTTCTCTCTTTTTTTATTTTTTTCTGTTTTGTTCTTCAAATATAATTTTTTCTTCTTTCGATATTCGCTACATTTTCTTTTCTTTACTGCAATTTTATACATAGTTTTATACATTACAAAGTATACAAAGCATATATATATACTAAATATATAGTATATAGTATATAGTATATGTACAGTATTATTGACATGCAGAATTAAATAATCAGCCATTTTTTACTAGAATAAATTCTAACTAAATTTCAATCTAAATTGAATGATATTCATATAAAATGATATTCATATATTTTCATTGTTATTTCCTTTTATAAATTATTTTTATCTTCTCAAATCTATTTATTTACTTTTTTCCAGACTATGCATCGGCAACAGAGGATTCGATCTTCGTTATCGTCATCTTTATTATCGTTGCCATTCTCAATGTCTCGATCATCCATTCTACCCGCACCGCTATCACCAACTACATCAATATCGTCTGTGACAACATCTACATCAACTTCAACGTTGTCATCACCGTTGTCATCGTCATCCATCTTTTTACCATCGTCTGCAACGTGGTCGACATCCAATTTATCGTCGTATTCTTGGAGTGTACAACAAACCTCGTATTCGAGGTTACCCTCGTTACCAAGCGAATTGTCGATCATGTCAATATCCTGTCCAAGACTCGTCTCTGTGTTAGCCTGGTCTGTGACGCTTTTACTTGTTTCATCATGCATCGGTTTAACGGACGCTGGCATTTTAAATGGACACCCTTTGGGTAAAAGGTCCTTTATTGATATTCAATGTAAGGGTATATATGATAAAAGTATCTTTGCCCGACTGGATCGAATCTGCGAGGATTGTTATAATCTATTTCGAGAACCTCAATTGCATCAATTATGCAGGTAATTATTCATTAAAACTTATATTATTATATATATGCATATATTTATTTATTATTAATGTATTTATTATAACAAATTCTTAATTTTAAGTAGATTCAGATAACCATCGACAAAAATACTTAATAGATAAAATTTTATTATATTTTATTTTATTATATTATATTTATTATTATTATTATTAAATAATATACACATTGTTTCGAACATATTGTCTCGAATATTCGGCAAACTCGCAGATATCCTCTTTTATTTTGATAATACATATATGTTTATTATATTTAATTTCGGAATATTACAATATATTTTTCATGAAAACATTAATAACTAATAACATAAATTGATAACTTATTAAAAATTTTCTTTCATTTTCCATTGTTAAATATTCTAAATTCAAAATATTGAATTTTCAAAATTTTGATAGTAACACATATACAATCACAATTTTTTGTTAATAACATAATCATATATCACAAATTCAAGAATATTAGAATAGTTACTAGATTACTGATAAATATGCAAAGACAGAGAAAGAATAAATATTGGAATATATTTATAGATTATCATAAATGTAAATAGATATTATATTATATGTCATATTTTTACAATGTATCAAATTCAATTTGTTATTTCCTTCAATTACAAAATAATAAATTACAAAATATATAATTTATAGTCGAAGGTTGTCTCAAAAATTTTTGTCTCACATTTGTGAGAATAAATGATAAATATTTTACTTTACTTTCAGATCTAGGACGCAAGGTATCGCGAATTCATCGGATTATATTTAGTGTTATATTTTGAAATCTTTTCCAGGAAAAACTGCTTTACATCAGACTACTTCAAAGGATGCTTAGACGTATTGTTATTACAAGACGAAGTAGAAAAGATCCAAACATGGATCAAGCAACTTCATGGAGCGGAACCCGGGGTTTAGGTAGCTTTTTATTTTATGTTTATGATTTCTTATCCGCGCATTTTCATTTTACGGCTTTATACATGTATTACATACCAAATGCATTTGCTTCTCCTTTTTCCCTTTATTTTCGATCAGTTCTCTTAATTTTAATCACCTTATCATTTTTTTCTGTTTTATTTTTTTCATTAAAAAATTTTCCATCCCATTTAAATTTTGATAAATATCTTTCTATACATTTTACACAGTTTTCAATTTTTACTTTAAATCTTTCTCTTTTTTCTTTCTCTTCTTTTTCTTTTATTCTACGATTCTTTAGTTTTCTTTATTTTTTGGTTACAATTTTTTTATTTTCGTTGCTCGTTAACAAACTCTTGTTGCCGATAGTTACCAGCATTTACCATCGAGCTAGTTATTTTCTGATCGACGCATATGGTTTACCTTTGATGTCATCTCAAGAATTTACGAACCACAACTCAACGATGCATATGATATGTACGATGATACGCGATTTTCGCGCATGCTGTATATTCCTTTAGGTAATTTTCAGCAGATTTTGCAACAAAAAAATAATATTGTTTAGTATTTGGTCGATATACGTATTTTAATATATATTTCGTTAGATGTATTATTTTAATATACATATTATGCATATTTTAATATACATATTATGCATATTGGAAATAGTAATTTTTCAAACTTTTTATTCGATAGCATATTTTCATTTTTATACTTTTTATCTTTTTATGTATAACACATCGTTTTTGCATACATTTTTTCAAATTTTTGTCACGCATTATCGTGCCTCGTTGAAAATATATATTTTTTGTGTTAACATAACTTTTCAGAAAACATGATCAGTATAGGATGCCAAAGGATAAGACAACAAAATGGAGAATAATAAAACATATTTTTGCAACGTTCAAATATTTTTGCAGGTTTTCTTGTCGGAAGCAGTTACATATTTTTTGATCTCCTTACAATTGCAATTTTTTACAATAGAATCGTATCTATTATGTTTTGTTATTTTATGCTTCATTAAAAGGTGCAATAAATGAATGGCACTTTTTTGAATTTCGATTTATTTAATATTTGTTCATGTTGATGGATTCGTTTGTATTTACTTATATTATATATATAAAAAAGCATATATAATAATATAAATCATAAAATTTATTAAAAATAATAATGATAAAAAAATAATAAATAATAATAAAAATAATAAAAAATAAAAAAATAATAATAATGAGAAAATTCTTTATTAAAACATAAAACAAAACTAAATAAAACCAAACAAACGGATCTTAAATTTTTCTTTTTCGTTATTTCTTTTTTTCTTTTCTTTCTTTCTTTTTTCTATAATAATTTACAAAAATTTAATTTATATAATTTAATTTATTTTTTTTTTAATTTAGGCAAGACTGCTTTGGTACGGAATATTTTACAAGCTGTATTCAAGCATTGCTGCTTGAAGATGAAAAGGAAAAACTTTACGAAATGGTCGAGTACCTAGGTCGCAAGAAGTAAGAGGAAGAGAACACAGAAGCGCTTTCATCGTGAAGGCTTCCATTTTTATGACATCTACGATGAATGATTTTAATAAGACCAACGAGAAACTATAAGAAACAACGAGAAACGAGAAACTATAAGAAACAATTTTTATAAAAAGATCATTACAAAATTGTGAAAAATTACAATATTCGTTTATGCTACTTCTTTTATGAAAGAATACTCTTAAATTGGGAATTTGAGGCACGCAATCATACTTTTTCCATTCTCTTCTATGATATATCATATAGAACAACAAAAATGATATTATCGAAGTAACTAATAATTGTTATACATATATATACATAGACATTCATCCGAAAAAGAGGAGAAAGAAGAAGAAAAAGAGAAAAAGAGAGAGTAACAAAAAGATATAAAAGAGAAAGGGAAATATATATATATATATATATATATATAT